GGGGGGCGGAGTGTATGTAGGTACACCGGCCTTGTCTTTAAAAAAATATATATGTTTTTATTGATTACAAAGAGAGGAAGGGAGAGGGAGAGGGGGATGGAAACATCTGGAAAGTTGAGGCCCTCATCGGGGTGAACAGAAAGAGGCCCACCCTAGCCGGTGTGGCTCAGTGGCTAGAACATTAGCCTGTGGGCTGAAGGGTCCCGGGTTCCATTTTGGTCAAGGGCACGTGCCTCGGCTGCAGGCTTAACCTGGTTGGGGCGTGTGCGGGAGCCAACCAGTTGATGTGTCCCTCTCACAGCGATGTCTCTCTCTCTTCCCCTCTCCCCCTCCCTCCCACTCTCTCTAAAAATCAGTGGAAATATATCCTCGGGTGAGGATTAACAAAGTTAAAAAAAAAAAAAGTGTACAGCACACCTCTTCCCTCAGTGCCGTTCTGCTCCTGGGCTGTTGGACTTCGGGGAAGGAAAGAGCCATAAAAGATAACTTGTTTGCAGAAGGATAGTAAAATTCCAAGTGAATTCACGCGCGCTCAAGGAGTCCTATTTGTGCAGCGGCCTCGTCCAAAAATAATTTGGAACGGCCGATTTTCCGGTAACATGCAGACGCGCGGAGTCATAAATAACTTAGGGATAAATCCGTGCCGTTCATAAACGCCGGGAGCTGGGCACCCCCCAGCCGGGCCGGGCCAGGCCATCCGGGGCAGGTGCCGCCTCCGTCTGGAGCGAAGGTCCTTCTCCACCCGTCTGGTCCTCACAGAGGCCTCGTGAACACCAGGGCGAGACGGTCACGTTGGAAGGCGCCCCGGCCAACGCTCAGATGCGTTTCCCGAGGAGAAAGCCAGCCTCTTCTCTTCGTGAGGGTCTTTGGGGTGAATGAGGGCGGGCTGAGGGTGATCATTCGTTTTCATTGAAGAAAAAAAGACTTTTTAAAAATATATATGCACATATATAACTTTATTGATTTCAGAGTGGAAAGGAGAGGGAGAGAGAGAGAAACATCGATGATGAGATGAGAGGGAATCATGGATCGGCTGCCTCCTGCACACCCCCTACTGGGGATCGAGCCCGCAACCCGGGTATGTGCCCTGACTGGGAATCGAATCATGACCTCCTGGTTCATAGGTCGACGCTCAACCCCTGAGCCACAATCTTTCTTTTTCGTGATGGTCTTTGGGGTGAGTGAGGGCAGGCTAACGTTGGTCATTCTTTTTCATTGAAGAAAAGAAAAAGGGCCAAAACTGGTTTGGCTCAGTGGATAGAGCGTCGGCCTGTGAACTGAAAGGTCGCAGGTTCGATTCCGGTCAAGGGCATGTACCTGGGTTGCGGGCACATCCCCAGTGGGAGGTGTGCAGGAGGCAGCTGATGGATGCTTCTCTCTCATTGATGTTTCTAACTCTCTATCTCTCTCCCTTCCTCTCTGTAAAAAATCAATAAAATATATTTAAAAGAAAAAGGAAGGGTTTGGGGGGTTTTTTGTTGATCCTCACTTGAGGACATTTTTCCATTGATTTTTAGAGAGAGGAGAAGGCGGGGGAGACAGAGAGAGAGAAACATCGATGTGAGAGAGACACATCCACTGGTTGCCTCCCCCACACACCCCAGCCAGGGCCAGGGATTGAGCCTGCAACCGAAGTACGTGTCCTTGGCTGGAATCGAACCCAGGACCCTTCATTCCGTGGGTCGACGCTGTATCCAGTGAGCCAAACCAGCTCCAGGGCGATCATTCTTTCTAATGTTATAGCCCTAACCAGTTTGGCTCAGCAGATAGAGCCTCAGCCTGAGGACTCAAGGGTCCCAGGTTCGATTCCGGTCAAGGGCATGTACCTTGGTTGCGGGCACATCCCCATTAGGGGGCATGCAGGAAGCAGCTGATCAGTGATTCTCATCATTGATGTTTCTAACTCTCTATCCCTCTCCCTTCCTCTCTGTAAAAAATCAATAAAAATAAAAAAAAATTACCTTTGAAAAAAAAAGCCTTTTTGAACATTTTCGTATGCAACAGGGAAGTCCCGTACCAAGCCATCTCTACGTCAGTTGCGTGCTTGATCCCATAGGGGGCGCTGCACGGCGCCCCATTCAACACTGTCGCTAACCAGGCGGCTTTCCGGGCACTGGTTTGGGTATTCCGCTATCGTCTCCCCCGGAGCAGTCTCAGATGCCAGTTACCCTGTTCCCACTGACTCTGCAGCTCCGTGTGTGGGAAAAGCCAGAGTTGGGGGGCGGATGGAGGGCGGGTTGCTGAGATGAGGGCAAGGGGGCATCCTTTCAGCCCAACAAGGGTGTCTGGCTTCTCCCTCTCGCTCGTCTGGCAGGGGCCCAGGCAGCAGGGCTTTGGGCAGCGGTTTCAGCTTGAACACTCGGAGCTGAAAGGGACCCTCCGGGGCAGACCCCCGCCCCCCGGCTCCCCCCATCTCAGGAGGGAGGGTAAGGCGTTTCAGAGATTCTGCCGAAACCCAGCCCGCTGACTCCCCTCAGCGTGGGTTTCCAGGCCCGGGGCCAGGTTCTCTCCACTCACACACTCCGGGCCCTGAAGACACACGTCGGATGTGACCGTCATGCTGATGGCGTCATTACCCGGATGAATGAAATCGCTTAAATGAGAGAGAGTTGGCCTGTGGGGTTTTTGTTTGTTTGTTTGTGATCAGTGTATTTTTATTGATTTCAGAGAGGAAGGGAGAGGGGGGGAGAGAGAAACATCAATGACGAGAATCATGGACCGGCTGCCTCTTGCACGCCCCCTTACTGGGGATGGAGCCTGCAACCCGGGCATGTGCCCTGACCGGAATCGAACCTGGGACCCTTTAGTCCGGGGCTGAGGCTCTATCCACTGAGCCACACCGGCCAGGGCCTTGTTCCCCCATCTTGGCCGCATCTCCAAGGCCACCTGGTGGACCACACGCTAGAATGAGCATCCCTACGCCGGCGGCAGGAGTGTCGTACTCTGAGGGGGGCCAGTTCACCCCCACGTGGCCCCCCGGGCCAGGATGGTCCCCGGGTCCATCTCAGACGCGCCCTCCGCTCTCCCGTGTCTCTGCAGCGTGCCCGCTGGACTTCCCGGCCTTCCTCAGCGAGTCCCTGGAGGTCCTCTGCCTGAACGACAACCACCTGGACGCCGTGCCCCCCTCGGTGTGCCTGCTGAAGAGCCTGTCGGAACTCTACCTGGGAAAGTAAGTGCGCGGCCCCGGGAGGCAGAGCGTCCGTCCGTCCATCCGTCATCCACCTACGGACACCGCCAGGGGGTGGGGGGATGTCAGGAACGGGACTTATTCAAGGACCAGCGGGAGGGGACGCAGGGGGTAGGGATGCAATGCGGCCGCCTCGGCTAATCTGCTCAGTTATAAAGAGAAGAACTGCCCGGCTGGTGTGGCTCAGTGGTTGAGCGTCAACCTATGAACCAGGAGGTCAGGGTTCGAGTCCCGGTCAGGACACATGCCCGGGTTGTGGGCTCCATCCCCAGTAGGGGGCGTGCAGGAGGCACCCAATCAGTGATTCTCTCACATCATTGATGTATCTCTCCCTTCCTCTCTGAAATCAAGAAAAATATTTAAAAAATATATATGGTGGGGGTTTTTTATTCATTCATCCTTTCCTTTACTGAGCACCTATTGGCAGGCACTGCCCTGGGGTTCGGACAGTGTGAAAATCTCCATGAAAGTATTAAATGATTCAAGTTGCTCTGCCTTTTTGAGAAGAGGTAGTCATTGAGCACCTTTTATTTTTAGTATCTTTTTATTGATGTCAGAGAGGAAGGGAGAGGGGGAGAAGAGAGAGAGAGAGAAACATCCATGATGAGAGAAACTCATGGATCGGCTGCCTCCTGCATGCCCCCTAGTGGAGATCGCGTACATGACCTGGGGCATGTGCCCTGACCGGGAATCGAACCAGTGACCTCCTGGTTCCTAGGTCGACGCTCAACCACTGAGCCACGCCCTCAGGCCGTGACTGATCATCTTGAAGGTAGTGACCAGACGAGAAAGTGGGGGGAGGAGGCCCAGTACTAAGCCACAGGGACGTGCAGAAGGCAGGGCTTTTTTTTGGGCTGCCAGTCCCCCCCCCATTCCCCCCGCCCCCCGCCGCCGGCTTTCCAGGGAGAACGGCTTGGGGATGAGGGTTTCAGTGGGATGCTCAAACTAGGGGCCCACCATGTTGGGCTCGGGGTGCAGGCTCTCAGTGGCCCCTGCGGGCCTCTGAGGCTGACCAGCTGCTGCATGTGCGTGTGCGTGTGCGTGTCCCGTCCTCAGTAATCCAGGCCTGAGAGAGCTCCCTCCCGAGCTGGGGCAGCTGGGCAACCTCTGGCAGTTGGACATCGAAGACCTGAACATCAGCAACGTGCCCGCGGAGATCAGGAAAGAAGGTAAATAAACCGACGAAACAGAATAGATCCGGAGACATAGATAGAACCCATGGAACAGACTGCAGAATCTCAGAGTCTCAGAGGGGTGGTGAGAGTGCGGGGAGGCGGGGCGGGGGAGAGAGATTAACGGGGAACTTGCATGGCCCACAGACACGGCAAGAGTGTGGCCAAGGCTTGCGGGGGGAGGCGGGTGCAGGGAGGAGGAGGTGAATGGGGAGAAAAACACAATAACAGCAACAAAAGGGACATCTGTAACACTTTCAAAAAATTAATAAAAGTCGGGCCCTACTGGTTTGGTCAGTGGTTGAGCATCGACCTATGAACCCGGAGGTCATGGTTCGATTCCCGGTCAAGGGCACACTCCCGGGTTGCGGGCTCGATCCCCAGGAGGGGGCGTGCTGGAGGATTAGGGTTAGCGTTAGACGTAGGGTCCGACGCTCTAGCCACTGAGCCAAACCGGCTAGGCCAGTGGTTGGCAAACCGCGGCTCGCGAGCCTCATGCGGCTCTTTGGCCCCTTGAGTGTGGCTCTTCCACAAAATACCACGTGTGGGCGCACGTACAGTGCGATTGAAACTTCGTGGCCCATGCGCAGAAGTCGGTTTTAGGAGAGGAGACACGAAACAAGTACACGAGACGCGTGTGGATGGGAGAGTTGGAAGGGGCCGACCTCAGCGAACGTACCTCCATCAGATGGAGGACGTTTTTAGCAAAGGCCAGCTTAGGAGTTCCCTAATTAAGTGAATAACAATGTACCTATCTATATAGTTTAAGTTTAAAAAATGTGGCTCTCAAAAGAAATTTCCGTCGTTGTACTGTTGATATTTGGCTCTGTGGACTAATGAGTTTGCCGACCACTGGCCTAGGGCTGCCATTGATTAC